GTCTTAGGAAGGTTTTGAAAAAGCACCTAAGATGCTCCGCTAACTACGATTTTTCAGCGACTAACTTATTTGACTAATTTGTTTTAACTTTGCAAATCTTTAATCTATCAAACTTCTTAAAATCTTATCTAGGCAAATTTTTACAAGTCGTTGAAATATTCATCTTGCCAACTTTCAAATTTAAACATCTATTGCTTTAAAGTCCAATTTTAGTTTTTAAGTTTGATAAAATAGAAGGCGTCGATGGGGGTTTGGAGTTTCCTAACCCTATGCTAACGATATTTAAACTAAAACACACAGGCAAAGAGTAAAGGAGAGAGAGAGAGGGGGGGGGGGGAGATTTGGGTCCAACTTTGGTTTTGTTCGCCTTGACCGAATATTGGACCCACCTGCTTTTGGTTATTTGACCCGTTCTGTGCCTGTCCTAATCTAAACATACAAAAATAGGTACAAAAAAATAAAACCATAAGGGCTTAGGCACATTACAAATGAAACACAAAATATAAAAAAAACTAAAGAAGTCTTCTAGTTCGTCTTTTTCAAATTTCTTCAACCTTCACGAAATTGGCTTCATACGTTTGCCTTGACTTGATAAAAGATTGAGCCTTTACGGCTCTTCCGTAATGCAAGGAGGGAAGGGAATCCCAAACGGACTCGAAGGAGTTTTCACATGCCACAAAAACAAGTGAAATGAGAATTGGCACCTTAACCAGATAACTAAAATAAATACAGAAGGAACATTTTTCATGCAATTAATCATTTAAAACAAACGTAAATTAAGCACATAATTGCAAAGAAGACATATAAGACGAGTTGATACACAACATCGAAGATAAAACTTCCATCGATCAAACCGATGTACAGCAGTCCAACACCAAATTGAATTTGAACAGAATATAAGGAGATGAGTGGTCTATTATCACAATTCCCTCATTTGGCTCATGAATAACACTAGAGTGAATATACATTATTTATGCATTTTATTATTATTATTATTTTTTTACTGTAGTGCCACAAGACAAACTCATATATGTAATATAAAAATAATAATAACAAATTTATTTGAGTCACCCAAAGGCAGATGGAGGTAACCTTTTATCAAAACTTTGACGGAATAAAAACATACATAATAGCTTACTAAAATCATTTGAGTTAGTGGAACAACAAAGATTTCAAGATGGAGAGAATAAAATATGAACTAAAGGAAACGAGATACAACTACATCATGCGATTTCCTCACTTGACCTCAAAAATTGAACTTACATACATAACAACATTGATGTTGAACAGAAGAAATCAATCACTATGTGACCTTCATACGACTGAGAAAGACTCAACACGACCCTCAAGGATTAAACAAAGAAACAGCAAGGATGAACAACATCACATTTCAAACTATAGATCTTCCGAAAACAGGACAGACTATGGCCAGCAATCATACACAGAAAAAGAAATAGAAGTGGAACACTACAACGAGAGATATGATGTTACCTTTCTAAACGCAGCAAAGCTGGGACGATGAGCGAGATGAGCGACGACTTCCACACGCGAAACCGACAGGGAAGCACTCCTTCTTCTTCTTCCTCGCTAAACCAAATAGCTAACCCCTAAAAATCCAACTCAAAGAGAAGAGTTATAGCTCTCAACCATATTTCCTCTCTACAACAGACAGAGGAAATAAAAAAACAGAATGTTCCTTTCGAACCTCAAAATTTTTCCCACCCAAAACGTCCAACCCCCTTTCTTGGAGGAGATGAGAGTTTATATAGAAGAGAAGATTAGGGTTTTTTGGGTTAGGAGGGTGGGGGAATATCGGGAAAAGGCTTGGGGTAAAATCGATATTCCAAGTCTCCTTTTGAAATTGAAAGAAACCCTGAAGAGATAAGGTTGGCACCGAGTAATACGAACTTCGTACGATAGAACAGCCATTCGATTTCGTCCCAAAGACAAGGAGAGTGATGTGATATCGCCACGTCGCTCTCCCTTTTCGTACGAGTACGTTACACCTCTCTGAAGATAGACACACAAACAGACAAGGGGAGAGAGGAAGAGCTGCGACGCGCTATACGGAAAAGCTACGCGAGGGAGAAAACAAAACGAATGGAAAATTCCTTGCGCGTGAGGGAGACGCAGGCGGGTTCTGTTCTGGGAATTTCTGCGCGTAAGTCTGTTCTCATGCGTGGCTTCTGGGAATTTTGTCGAGTGGGTCACGTTTGCAGGGGAAATCGCGTGAGGGAAGGGAAAGAGAGGAGGGCGTGGGGAGACGCGGAACGCGTGAAGGGAAGGGATTTCGCATGGGGAGAGAGAGGTCGGCCTCGCGTTCTGGGAATTTTCGTGGCTGCGTTTCCTTTTTTTTTGGGTTCGCAGCTTTCTGGGAATCGTTTTGGCATTTTCTGTTTCTGGGAAGGAGCGTGAGGGAAGGGGGAAGAAGGAAAGGGGGGGGGCGCGTCTGGTTCTGGGAAGGGAAAGAGAGGAGGAGAGAGAGCGTGGGAGGGAGTCGCGTTGGGGAGACGAGGGAGAGAGCGTGGGAGGGAGTCGCGTCGGGGAAAAAGATGAGGAGAGAGAGGGCGAGAGCATGAGGGAGATTTTCTGTTTTTGACGTTTTCTGTTTGGGAATTTTGTGTGGGTCATTTGAGGAAGAAGAAGGGGGGAAGTCGGGTTTGGGTCGGGTTAAACTTAAAGTGTTTGGGCCTAGGAATGGTTTGGGCTGCTGAAGGAAATTGGGTTGGAGTTAAAGTGGGGCTGAGAACAAAGATTGGGCCTGGGATTAATTTTAAGTTGGGTTGGTTTCGAATATAACAAGATATACCGGCTATATACGCAACTATGTAAACATTAAATCGTTATATTTTTGCAAAAATTATAAAACTAATTAATTTAAGTGATTTGGAAAACTCATGAAGCTCACTAATTAAATCATACCGGCGCGGGTCAAAATTGAGTGTCAACAAGAAGTTCATAGCAATGATCATATCTTTATGTATTGAATTTTAATAAAGTATCAATATATTTTATACTTTCTATGTGGTTATATATATGTAATGTGTTATTATTTTTACATTTTGAGATTGAGTAAAGTCCATCATACGATGAAATAAACTATATAAATCTCTTATTAATGATCTCTAACACCTTTCCTTGAAGTATATCTTGATTCAAGATATCATATATAATAATCTCAAAATTATGTAGAGAAGCATTGAAGAATTTGTTTGTTTGTGATCATATCTCTGAGAGAACACACCTTTACTTGATTGATTATCTTCTTAATATGCACACATCAAAATTCTCTTTTGGATAAAGGATAGTGGTGTGATTCGATCTCAAAACTCTTGTCTATGATTTCAGAAGTGTATATTGTTGAAGATAGGGGTACATGAAGATAATGCAAAAATTAAACAATGTGATACAACTGTGTTAGTTGTTAAATAGTTCGAGTCACACCAGAACTAGGTCAGTCGACTATGCTACGAGTTATAATCGTAGTAGTAGTCAAACATCTACTCTTGTAATTGTATTTGCATTGTAGTATAACTCTAAGTTAGCTAACCTAAGACTCCACAACCTTCTTGTTACAACTCATCATATATAAGAAGCATACACATATTCTCGAAGATTTTATCTATCAATACAATCTTTGATTACTCTATTTCTTTTACTTAAAAATTCTACATATATAACTATTTTATCGAAAAACATATCCCCAAAAGTCAAAAGAACCTAATATGTAGTAGGCTAGTGCCACTTTATGAATTTCAAGATGCCACATAAATTTTGTTTTTATTTAATTATTAATTAATCAAATATATAGTTGTTCTTAATTAATCCTGACTATTAATAAATGAACCCATTCGAATGCCTTCTTCTTATCCAATCACAACAACTTGTTTCAATAAGAGACCATATGGTACATATTGCAAATATTCTTACCTACCTATAAAAGTTTTGCATTTTGAGGTACATATGAATGAAATCTTCTAGCCATTAATAGGAAGATTTGTTATTTTTCCCTTTTTTGCAATCGCAGAGGAATATTATTTTCCATTTGCACAAGATAATATTATGGACGTTACATTTTAGAGACTAAAGCCTTTGCTTTAGGCCCTCAAAATTTTAGAGCCTAAAGCCTTTGCTTTAGTTGTTTGACCACCTAGGCGGCCGTGACTTTTGGGTCCACGCACTTTGAATATTATTTAATTATGAAATAAAAAGAAGTCTCACACATTTATCGTATATCGTATATAGTGACCTTAACGAGGTAAAATAGAGTACTAAGATAATATGTGACCTTTCGATGTAGTAAGGGAGAATTTATTTGAATGAGAATATAGAACAAACTCGTACTACGTACATTCGAATGATTTTATTCTATACCAAAGAGAATTAATATTAACCAAGTTTATCACATAGCAATCAAACTTGATTTTAACAGTATGTTCTATGAGGATATATTCTGAGAAAAATAATTAGTGTTTTTATCTCCAATCAAAAGTAAGATTCTATTGAAATATATCACTCCAGCGGGGTATAATATAGATTTAATTTTCTTTTTGTAGATACTTTGTTTTCAAGGGGGCATTCACAAAATATATTTTGTTCTTATAGTGTTGCTAATTAATCGATTTGGGTACAAACTAAAAAAGGCAACATCTATAATTATTGATACATATAGAAGTCAACGTTTTATAAATTTGGTCGAAAGCAATAACAACGAGATTGATAAAAATGTTTGATCTCTAGTAATTTAATTTAAAGATGAAGTGGTCGTACAATTCAACTTGTTCAAACGAAATTGTTTATTTTCTCAAAGAGAAAAACTGCCTTAAACATACAAATCAAACCAAGATAGAGATCATAGTGACATTGTAATATAATGTTCTTGGAATATTTTAAAAGTGATAGATTATATTCTTTTCATTTTTCTGATTGAGTATTTTATGCTACTATAAAATCCAGATAAGGCATACAATATGCCCTTATCATACAAGTGTAATCAAAAGAACAATCTAGATATATCACATCATCAACTTGTACCAATTTTCACCTTCTTTTTTTCTTCTCTTTTAGTTAGCATAATGTCTCTATATATAGCTTCATGTTAGGTTCAATTTTCTCAACAACAAATCAACCCTCAAATTCACTTCACAACTTCTTTCCTCTTTAGTCTTTACTAAAAGCTATATACATATATATCTTGACATTTGAGCCAAACTACTAATTAATTATTTCTTGAAGTTGTTTAAATATGGATATGGTGATGAAGTTGGGAGCAACAAGTGGGGTGGTGATTTTCACCAAGAGTAGTTGTTGCATTTCTCACAGCATTGAAACCCTAATTCGTAGTTTTGGAGCAAACCCTATAATTTATGAGCTCGATACACATCCAAATGGGAAGCAAATGGAAAAGGCATTGATGGAGCTAGGGTGTCAACCAAGTGTGCCAGCAATATTTATAGGGAAAGAGTTGGTTGGTGGTGCAAATGAGATAATGAGCCTTAATGTGAGGGGCAAGCTTAAACAATTGCTCATTAGGGCTAATGCCATTTGGATATAATGAAATTAATTAATTAATAAATTGACTAGCTATGTATATAGCAATTAGTCTAAATGTTTTGATGGTAAATTTACCAAGTAATACAGATACTCTTTTTGTTTTCTCTCACAATTTGCTTCTTCATGTATAAATAAAAACTACTAATACTTTGGTCATAGCAAGTCTTTTCTTTTTGCAATCTAGTGATGATATGGGTCAAGTTGAAACCTCCACAGGAACCTTCATGGGTGACAACTTATGTTATTCTCATTTGAGGAAAATGATAAAAATCTCACCTTTTAAGTTCTCTTATTACCATTATCCCCTATTAATTTTACAAATTTCCAAAATTTCTCATTTTTTGTGCATCAGACGAATGTATCAGCACATCAGATTAATATATCTCGCAAGATTAATGTATCAGCGTATCAGATTAATTTATCTCACCCATCAAATTAGTGTATCATGTGTAAATTGTACATCATATTAGAGTATCAAATATAAAATGTAATATATCTTACTTAACGATTAATGTATCTCGCATATCAAATTAATGTATCAATGCTTGTATTATTGTATCAGTTTGAGGGATTTCTGTAATTATAAACTTACAAGGGACAAATGGTAATTTTACCTTAAAAGTATGTGATTTCTGTCATTTATCCTTTATTTAATTATATGTATAATGAAGTGGAGATTTCGATTTAATTAATTTTGTTAAGACTTTGGAAGAATTTAATAGAGAAATTAGCATCTGTATGTATCGTTATGAAACTTGTTGATTTGTTGGAATGACATTCTTTACATTCAAAAGGTACAAGTTGTTCTAACAGGCTAAAGACCACATGACACACATATTGCAAATATTCTTATATTAAAAGTTTTGACTTTTGGTGACATACATGAATGAAATCTTCTTGCCATCAATAATAAATTCCATCTTTTGCATGCAATGGCATGGGGAATTTTTTTTTTTTAATTCGGTATCCGATATTACGTACTTGGGAAGGACTAATTTGAATCTGCATCAGAAAGTTTTATTTTGAGAGCAAACATTTCCTACGTTAAATACTATTTCATAATTTATATATACTTAGGGCTTAAATTCAAAATCTCTAACTGCTCCAGTCGTATAGTTATTTCTTTCACAAATTTGACATAGGTTTGCTTGCGTACTTCTTCACTCATATCGTACTCTCTCAATATGCACTATTCAAATTTGGTGGGAAAAAAAGACGTAAAGATGATTATAAAGATAAATAATTAAAAAAAAAAACAGCCTTTCTTCATTTAATTAACATATCTGAAATCGAGGCATATATAAATATTTATGTCATAACTACGAAAAATGTCTAAAGTTGGATCTTGCCAAGGATATATATTATAACTTCATTAAAAAAAATAGATTTTACATAAATCACATAATTTTAATATGAAATTTTACTATTTATGTCTTGTAATTATATTAATTTTTAAAAAAGTAACACAAACCGAATACATGTAGCTCTAGTACACTAAAGAATATCTCAGAAATATTATAATATAAACCGGATACATAAAAACTAACTCGGATACATTATAAAATAAACTGAATACACAATATGCAGATCTGATACACTAAATGATAACTCGGACACATTAATAGGTAGCTCGAATATATTAAAGAAATAAGAGATTTTAGAATTTTTAAAAATATAAAGAGATATTGAAAATAAGAAAAACATAACACATGTATTTCAGTAATTTTTCCGTTTAAAGAAACTATATAAAATAACGCCTTTCCAAGACACAACTTTGAAAGTAGGCATGCAATTAAAGGTGAAATCCGTTTGGACTTCCCGAAAGTAGGGGCTATGGCGTCTCTCCGTTTGGAGACTCCGGAGAATTTTCCCCATCCTTTCCCCCGTGTCTACATTTTGATACCTTAAGAGTAATACGTTAAATATGTGGCCCTTCGAGGTTGTAAGGGATTGAGCATTTTTTTCATACATTAGTAATTGTACTAGATTCTCTCTTTTTTTTTTTTTTTGATATTTACTTTATACTAATGGGAATTTTAATTAAATTTGTGTATGGTACAGATCGTATAATTAATGTGGACGTGATTTCAACAACACGTCTATATGAGGAGATATATTCTTAAAAGATTTCTTTTTCGTTTTTTTCCCAAATTAAAAGTAATATTCTATTGTAAAAGTTAATTCCAGCTGGACATATAGATTTAATTTTTCCTTGCATTGTTTTCAAGAGGGCATTACATTTTGTTCTTATCGGAACTTAATTGAAAATGCAACATTTATAATTCTTGTAACGTCGATCTTGATTCTTGATTATATTATATACACTTTAATTCATGATTGCATAAATTATTGAAACATACAGGTCAACATTATTTAAATTATTGAAAAATATTTAGTATTAATTAGGAAATTTAGATTTGCTGTTAAATAAATGAGGGTGTGTTTTGATCTCTAACAATTTCAGTTAAAAATGAAATAGTTACATACTTTAACATGTTGATACGAGAATGTTATTTTTGAATTCTTTTAAAAATTATATATATGTGAAAAATGAAAATCTAAAAGGACTTTAGTGGCCTTACAATGTTCTTGGAATATTTTAAAGATGTGATAGATTATATTCTTTTTATCTTCAATTTAGTTTTGTTATGTCCTTATCATACAAGTGATCAAGAACAATCTAAATATATCCATATCCACAACAATTTTCACCTTTTATTCTCTCTTTTATAGTAAACATAATGCCTCTATATATAGCTTCACGTTAGGTTCAATTTTTTCTAAAAACAAATCAAGTCTCAAATTCACTTCACAAACTTTCATCTATACCATTTCTTGTATCCATCACAATTTCTATTTTCCTCTTCACTAAAACCTATAAATCTTGGCATTTGGCCAAACTCTCATCATTTCTACTTCAAACATGGATATGGTGATGAAGTTGGGAGCATCTAGCGCGGTGGTGATTTTCACCAAGAGTAGTTGTTGCATTTCTCACAGCATTGAAACCCTAATCCGCAGTTTTGGAGCAAACCCTATAGTTTACGAGCTTGATACACATCCAAATGGGAAGAAAATGGAGAAGGCATTGATGGAACTAGGGTGTCATCCAAGTGTACCAGCAATATTTATAGGGAAAGAGTTAGTTGGTGGTGCAAATGAGATAATGAGCCTTAATGTGAGGGGAAAGCTTAAACAATTGCTAATTAGGGCTAATGCCATTTGGATATAGGAATTAATAAAGATTATAAATATGTAGCAAGTGTACTAGGTCTAGGAGTTTTCATATAGTGAAACCTTTAGCTTTGATCTTTGTAATTTCCTTCACATTGTGAATAATGATTTATCTTGATGTATAAATAAAGTTATAATTTGGTCATACCTAGTCTTTTCTTTTGGAAATCTAGGCAATTTTTCTTTATCCACAGCTTATAACATGCATGAAGACACTACATCAAAAAATATCATTAATATGTATTTTTGGAGGTAATTAACATTCTTTGTATATGCCTTTAAAGTTTTTAGCCACATTCGTTCTAATGACACTTAAATAATGCCGATAAAGACTTTAGCACTCTTTATTAATGTCAATACTTAATGCCGCTAAATTTATTTTTTTTTGTACTGACAGCATGTTTATGTGTAGCTTGTGGCAATATTAATTACAAAATTTTAAATGAAGTTAATATATTTTGTGATTGAGTTTAAGTTATGCACATCGTAGGTACAAAGATTTTTTGTTATATAGTATCGAGACTCAAAATATATTTACATATAAATCTTTTAAAATATGGAATTTGCAATGTTGAAAATAAGACAAGTTATAGATATATACTAAAATTACTACACATATAACAATAATCTGATGATGCAAAAATATCTTCTTCTTTTTTTTTGGGAATAAATACTTATAGACGTATATACATATGCTGTTGAAATCAAGTTCACATAATTATCCGTACCAAAAGTATAGAAAAAAAGTACCACACACAAATTTTTATGCTTCTTTAAGCTAGTTTGGTTGATAAATAATGACTAACTTGGTTCAAAAAAGTGAATTACTTGATCAAGAAAGGGAATATATAAAGTAGTATGCCAATTTCATCATCACAATATATTCTTACCCAATAAAAAAAAAAAAAAACTCCCTTACAAATTCGAAAGGTCACAATTTATTTATTTTTCTTTACAATCTATCTCCAACATCAAGTTATTCCTCTATTTCATTTTATGCTACGGCCGTATTTGATTAGTATGATTTATTTATTTTTTTTAAAAAAAAAACTTTTGAAATCTGTAATCTTAAACATGTCAAGAATTAATGGATGTACAAAAAAAATGTCGTTCTTTGAGTTGCAATCGACTCTATAGAGGAATTAAATTTTCTAAATAATACTCCTTCCATCCAGAATTTTTTGTCATATTACGCTTATCGAAAGTCAATTTGTCTAATTCTCAAAGGTAAATTAAACCACACTTATTCGATATTTTAAATTAAAAAATTAGATATTCTAAAACTATATTATGAAAAGTACTATAAATTATAATTTTTTGCATATTAATATGATGAAAAAATTCATTTAGGGAGCAAAATATAGTAGCGGATCTACTGGCTAAGTAAGGAGCCAGAAAGCACCTATACAATATATAGCATTATAAATCTTGTGTTTGCTTATAACTCTAGACATAACGCGAACAGATTTAAAATTTAAATTTACTGGGTTCTTGATTCTACGATAATGACCTCATCAAGTGTTAATAATTGGGCATTGAGTTTATTTTTAATTTTATACATATTTAGTAAAATTTTAATGCATATACAGGGTTGGAAAAAAAAAGTTACTTCAATATACAAGCCTACTAGGTTGTGTGTGCAAGAATAACCTTAGGAATGTGATATATTGTATGGACAAAACATACCATTATTATTATATCAAAAAAATACATTAACAACAAAAAATGGAGATAAAAAGGTGAATAAAAGAAAACCTCATATATCTAGGTCTTTCACTGCCCAAAAATGACATCATGACCTAGAAATTAATTTAGCTTATCAAATTTCAATCTTGTAAATCTCTCTCAAGCCAAATATGAGGTGATTTCTTTTCATCGGTCCAAGTCTTAGTGGACAGAGTTATCCGGTACCTATGTTGATGTAGGCAGCACAAGTACTCATGAATCTATAGTCGAGATGTGCATAAGTTGCCCTGACCCATGGTTATTTTTTAAAAAAAGTTACAAGCATATATTTTTTATACCCAAATTGCATTAGCCTTTATGAGCAATTGCTTGAGCTTGTCTCTAATATTGAGACTCATAATTTCATTAGAACCTCCAACTAACTCATTTCCAATGAACACAACAGGCACAATTTGTTGACACCCTAAATCAACCAATGCCCTCTCTAATTCCTTCCCATTTTGAAGTCTATCAAGCTCATAAACAATAGGGTTTGCTCCAAAATTGCGAATTAGGGTTTCGATGGTATGAGAAATGCAACAAGTGCTTCTACTGAAAATCACCACTGGACTTTGTGCTCCCATCTTCATCACCATTTCCATAATGTTTTTAAGTCTTTTGTGAAAGATATACTTTTATTGGAAGAAAAATATGTGAAGGAAACTAGAAGAGAAAAGGCTTTTGTGTATTGAGTTTGTTGATTTGATATGGTTATTTCAATTGGAGGGAGCTATATATAAGGGTTAAATTAAAAGATGAAAATATTCCTATATATAAATAAAAGAGCAACAAAAAAAAAGATATACTTTTTATCATTTGTACGATAAATGAAACTGCATCACATTCTACAATCTTGAAAATCAGAATGGAATATAACTATCTTTTAAATATTCTCCTTATTATCTTTGAGCACTTTATGTGTAACGTAGATAAAATTACTAACATTCCAAAATACTATCAAATTCATCGTTAAATAGCTCATAGCTGATAAGAGTTTTCTCATAATTTATCGACAATCCATTAATTAATGATTTTATTACTTAGAGATAAAATTTGTCTGTTGCTAATTTTTTTATTGAGCTATATATAGTCCAACATTGTAATCTAAGTCATAAACCATCAAAAGAAAAATCATTGCTGTACCATTTAATTTTACATACATTAGAAATTAAAGTGTAGAAAATTAGATTTACAACCCGTATTAACAACTAAATATGTACAATATAACACGGATATACGCAATATTGATATATATGCTCACTCTGTTTTATTTTATGTGTCATAATTTAATCGGATACACGAAGTTGAAGGAATTGGTTTGGATCTAATGCTTTTGTAATATTCCAAATATATAGTGCATCAAATACAAAAGGGTCTCAAGCAAGAAGGAGAGGGTCGATTGGTACTTCCAAGTTCCAAAGGCCATATGCTTTTTGGGGGTGACAAGGATGATAGATCCAGGCCCAATTTCTTATGTGGGCAAAGTGTGGGGTGGGGCGGGGTGAGTATCATATCATGAAATAACTTTTGAAGTCGAATCAGACACGTACACTAAACACCATGCATGAAGAAAGGAATATGCAAGGACATTTGTGAACTCGGATATTTACTTAACAAACTCCTTTCAGACCGGCCCGACCTAGCCTCCCAAGTACAAAAAAGTTATATCCTTCCAATCACTAAAAGTATATGAATGCAAACTTTCATCTTCTTTAATTAAAAATTTTAAATTTGAGTTTTGACAGTAAAGACGATATATTCCTTTTTTTTTGTGATGCAAATCATAATAAGCCGTACAGTTTGTTCTAGATATCTAATAGTTCTTTGTGGACATGTTGCAATAAGGTCCATGCAAATCGTACTTTATTACAAAGTACAAAAGGTGAAAATAATATATAGGACAAATTAAGAAAGAGGGTACAGTATATATACTAGGACATCCTTATCATAAAGTGATTCTCACTCCGAAATAAAATTTATATAAGAAAATAAAAAGTTATATGCTACCTCGAAAGGCCAAATATTACTTGTTCCTTTGTTTCATTTTATGTAACATCATTTTTAATGAGCAAAAGGATTAAATATGTACATATTTATTATTTATTTGTAGTCTTGAGATCTTATATATTATTGTTAGTCATTAAACTATGCTATTTACAAACCAGAATCAAGTAATATTTTTTAAATTTCATGTTGATATGAGATATGTCATGAAACGACAACATTCGTTTATATGCATATGTGATGGAAGTTTTGACAATGTAACGTGGAGTTATGTCGTCTCAAAAGCTATATGCCTTTATGCTCTTAAAAAGGTGTGATCCTTTACAAGTTGCATTTTCCATAACTACTTTCCAAAAGAGAACATGAATAAAATATGATGCTAAAGAAATGTCTCTTCTTTTTATTTTATCACTCCGGAGCCCGATACAATGTGTTGGATCTGACTAAATTTTGATTTACGCATGCATTACAAGATTCATTTCTAGAGGGGACACTTTTAACTGGATTTTTTTCATTCTTAGGTGGTTGAATCTGAGACTTCTAACTAAAGTCGCATATATCCAATCGTCCCACCACAACCTATTATTGGTATTATGCTAAAGAAAAGTTAATTGCATGGATTTGTTACCCATATGCTAATTAATTAAGTCAAAATCTAATCTTGAACCAATATACTTGGGTCAATTGCAAAGAACTTTAGTCAAATCAAAATCTTTCTATTTTTTTTGGTTATATCATGTGTTTAGTCATCAAACATCGTCACATAAAATAGAACAAATGGAGTAATTAACAATAACATTTGACAGATTTGGTTGCTGCAATGAAATATGTAAAAGGCAATGAAATGAACCTCAAACTGATTCTCAACAGCTCAGTAGAGAGTAGAGACAGTGTGCATCAGGCTAACCTAAAGATCCGCCCATCCAACTGATTAAACTTAATATACTAGTCGGCAGATGTATAATATATGTATACTATACGTATGATCATATATAATAAAATTATGTATAATCCATAATTTTCAGGTAAAGGGTGTTCAAGTGACCATCCTAGTAGCTCCGCCACTACCTATGTAAGAAAATTTCATGGATTTGTGAGGTTTTCATTTGATATACAGTGTGTAAAAGCACAATCCATCGACAAAAAAACACTTATTATAGTTGAACAGAGGAAAACAGAATCGATGTGTGATCCAAAGGCAACGCATAATAGATTGAAACCTTTATCATTTCAAAGAATCACATAACACAAAATAGATATTACGGTGCATCAATTAATAATGTGAAGAATCGAAGAACATTTTAGAGAGATTTAAACTTGCTACGCGACTGTAATGGATTTAGACCTTAAGGAAATTATTTCCCACGTCCTCTTGTTCTTGTACAATATTTCTTGCAGAATCCTCAGCGGTAGTGCTGCAATCGTGTAACTCAATTGATTTTAAAGTACAAATTTCGTCAAAATCTGTTGGAATTTCTTGTAGGCGTTTGAGATTTGGGAAGTTAGCAGTGCTAGCTTCCCAACGCGAAAGTCCTCCACCACTCAGTAACACTAAAATTCAAGCTTTTGAATTCGTCTTAAGTGATGTTGGAAAAACAAAGCTCTTGATGGATAAATTTTTGTGCCAATTACAATCTACCGGCAAACAATAACACTTGATTGCTTCGAGTTTTCTCAAGCTGGACATATCCATAAGCCAATCGGGCGAGTGATTAAATGTGACAGAAGGGTGATGAATGGTCAATCTCTTTAGATTGGGAATACCAGAGAATACTTCATTTGTACAACTGATGTAAGAAAGACTAGAAAGTTCCTCTAGATTTGGCATCGCAGTCACAAGACTTTCTGTTTTAGGACTGGGTAAAAAAGCGGTTTCCCTTGTATGTATATACCTTAAGTTCTTCATCATCCATATCTTCTCAGGAAAAGATATAAACAACGAATTAGCACTACAAATTAGAGCTTGCAAATTTTGAAGCTCTGAGATTTGATTCAAGAATATCTCCGTTCAATCTAACTTGGAGATATCTCAACAAGCATGAACTTTGTCATTTAAGCTTCTATCAAACAGAATTCACGCAGTAAATCATGCATTGCACTTGCTTTTACCTCACCATTGAATCTCCTTTTTCTAGCCTGGATCAAGTTCCTGCTCATTAATTCTTCCAAATAATCTATTGCCATTTCCTCCAAACTTCCAGCAGATGTCCTAATGAAACCTTCTGCGATCCATAATTGGATCAATCTCTGAGTATCAACTTCAAAGTCCTCTGGGAAATCAACCATAGAGAGAAAGCAGGGTTTGAGGTGATTAGGCAAGTGGTGATAACTCAAACCGAGCACTGCTAAGCATTTATCTGGATGACTAGCAATGATTTCACTTAAGGTTCGGGCAACATCCTTCCAACTTCCTAATGTTCTGGCCACTTTACAGAGATGTCCTGCAATCACGGAAATTGTCAAGGGTAGTCCTTGACATTTTTCAACTATTTTCTTTCCGAGGATGATCAATTTTTTTAGTCCAAACACCTTATCACAAACTAACTTCCAACCGTTTTCTAAACTCAGAAGGTTCATCTCATGAGGGCTACAAGCATTTGCATACATTGCTACCTCATTTTCCCTAGTAGTCAATAAGATTCGACTTCCATTGTTGTAATTAGGAAATATTCCTCTTATACTATCCCAATCATCCCTACTCCAAATATCATCAACAACAAGGTATCTTTGATCCTTAAGGTTCTTTTGCACCAAGTCAGCTAACTCATTGTCATCCATCTTATCAGTCTTTTGCATTCACAATATCCGTTTTCTTTGAAATGCAACGTAAAGCTTCTAACAATACATTTCTACATTGAAATTCTCGAGATATTGTAACCCAAGCAAGAATTAGGTTTATGTGATAATTCGAAATGAATTAGGTTTCTATTATACAGTGAATATGTGGGTATGTACACTTAAATATGTTTGGTTCATGTCATATTATATAAATCACTTAGTTATTCTATCCTCACATAAATAAATAGCTGGTGATAGTTTTGGAAACTCGAAAACTCTACAACTCGTACATGTAATTATTTCACATTTCTGGTGACATTTCATAGGTTCAACATCAATGTCAAAAAAAAAAAAAAACAGAATACATTCTCTATTAAGCATATTTATATATATACTTCTTTCTGTTCTTCGATATATTTTCAAATTTATGAGAAAAAATCACATGTTTTTCATGTACAAGTGTTTAGTCACATTTCTGGAGTAAGATCAAGCTGCTTTCTCAATTGCTTCTATGCAGTCTACGACCGATGCCTTGTTTGTCATTGCCGCTATTAGGGCTTCATGAAGCTTGCTATTATTTTTCAGTAGTGAAGCAGCAAATAAGACCTGCAAAAATTGAATCAGACAAACTAATGGTCTTGCTTGGATTTACTTGCAACATTATAATCAATGTCTTCGTTTAGCTTAGAAGTGGCAAAAGCAAACAATCTACGTGTGGTATGCATCTTGAATTTTGTATATGTTTGTATGTTAGAAATATGTGATCATCTCATCACATACTTTTACTTTTAATTATGTAGTTATATTATGTCTCACCACCTCTTGTGATGTGCTCTGATACCATGTTGAAGTGTGTGATGATTTCATATAAAAGCTTAAACTACTAGAGACTAAGACACTTTTAATTGACTTAATTATGTTATAT